GTGTGTATATATATTTGTATGCAAGAGATAAACGCATTGATCTCTTATTTCAGTATGTATTATAATTTATGTTATGATAAGCAGCAATCTTCGTACTCAGGCAACAAGATCGCAGAGAATTTCGATTGCTTTGCTTATCATACATTTGACATAGTAGTGGACTGTATACATATACGTAAATATTTTCTGTATGTAAATAAGTATGTTTTGTTTCTTGCATTGCATGTGCAGACAAAACGATCCTTTTCTAAATACATGTTCATATGGATGAGTATATGTTATTGTCTAAGTAGGTACATACATATGCACGTATTTTTTATGTTAAATTTTATTACCCTGGCAGATATGTACTCATGTTCAAAGATGTTTGAACAATGTACGAAAACAATCAACGATAAACAATAAACCTGTTTAACTGAACGGAGATTATTGAATGAAAATATTGTAATAAGTAGATAAAACTTCATTTATTTAGCATATTTTAGAGCTTATTTTGGTTACATATCGACCTTTTTGTAGCGCATATTTTCAGGGTTGTCTGGCATATTTTTTCCAGCCCTGATAATCACTTATTACGTACATATCAAGGTATGCTTGCATATACATGTTTGTTTGATGAACCGTTTCAGGTGCTGGATGCAAAGTCGCTGGCTTTCTGACTGTCTTCGCAAGTCACTTGTCGGTCTTCACACTGACGGTTATCACCATTGAACGTTGGATGGCTATTACACGGGCAATGCACTTGAATAAACGCATTAAGCTTCGCGCCGCCGGCTTTATCATGGCCGCTGGGTGGATCTACTCGATTGTCATGTCATTGCTGCCGCTGTTTGGCATTAGCAACTACTCTTCGACAAGGTGAGTACCACCGCGGGGCAGTTTTACTTGGAAGTAGTATCGAAATAAAGTATCGATACCCGAAAAATATCGGACTTAAAGTTTGGCTATGAAGGTATTCCTTATAAACTAAATAAATTAAACTTCGTTTTTGTTTTTAATGTCAAAAGTTAACACTTATCAGGGAATCCTAAACTTCAAACTTTCATCCCAATTCTGAATACCCCCGGGGAGTTTGTTCTCCGGCAATTTATTTCTCCCAAAAAAGAAATCCTCCAATAATTAACCCCCAGGGAGTAGCATTTTCCCTGAAAATTTGGGAGGAGGAAATTCGAACTTCGAAGGAGCTGTTTGACACATTTTTGACAGCTCAACTCCACCATTTAGGCTGCGTTTCTTTATACATTCCGGATAATCCCATTTCACAGCCGGAATAAACAGAATACGTTTGAAATATACGTTAACATATCATCAGGAACGTTCTGGAGAATAAGTAAACAAAAAAGTTTATTCCAAACGTTCAGAATGAATAAAGAAATGCAGTATTAAAGTAAAAAATCCTCAGTGAAAAGAGAAAACCTCCTAGGGAGTTTCTGTTCAGAATCGGCCTGTATATGTTTTATGATGAATGGTAATTAAAGAAAAGATTACAAGAAAGATAATCTCGTTTAAGAAAAAAATTGCTCATAAAATATTTCTGATAAAAAGTCTTTTATTGTACTTCCCAAGAATATAAGTTTTTTAAAAGATTTCAGTGCAGTGGAAATACACTATTATCTACAAAAATTATGAGCCAAAGATTTAAATACGATGGTTTCAAAAATGACTCTTTATTACTTCACCGCCGATAAGTCTCCCCTCGTTTCTTTTGAAGACGCTGGAGAGGCTGATCGATCTGTATTTAAGGAGCGGTATCCTCAGGGAGCGCCTTTCCTTGGATCAGCATGCTTATTGCAAGGGCAGGTCAGTCGAAATGGCCTTACACATGGTCGTTGAAAATATTGAGCAATCCTTTTAGCAGATGGAATTTGCGGTCGGTGCCTTCTTTGATATCGAGGGGGCTTTTAACAATGTTTTGCCTGAGGCTGTAGTTAACTCCCTAAATAAGGTAGGGGTCGGAGCCGACCTTGTCAGGTTTATTTACCGCTTGCTTTACAATAGAACTGTCGCGGCAGAGTGGGGCAGCGCTTCAATCCAAATTGCCATCTTCCCTCAATGGGTGGTCTTCCTCTAAAGCTCTCTGACAGGGTGAAGTACTTGGGCTTGATCATTAACAGTAAGCTTTCCTGGAAGCCTAACGTGGAGGAACGAGTCAAGAAGGCTGTATTGTTGCAGAGGGGCCATTGGCAAGCACTGGGGCCTCTCGCCGAAGGTAGTCCATTGGCTTTATGAAACTATAATCAAGCCAATCTTATTATATGGGGTACTCGTCTGGTGGAACGCGCCTAATGCCATGTTAAAAAATAAATAAGTAAATAAATGTTGTGCCTATAGATATAGCTGGCAGGGTTGCCGCTGCGCGTGCCGCAGTAAGGCTAAGAGGGGTGGGGTTCAAGTTCACCTCAAGCTATGGGCACTCCAGAATTCTAAGAGACTTCGGGTTCCTACCGACTCGGACAGACCACTGCACGCCGGTTCTGGGTCCGAATGACTCTTTTACCACCCACATTCCGGCGAGGGGAGACTGGGAGGGGTGCAGTATCTGGAATCTAGGACCTGTAAACTTATTTACAGATAGATCGAAGCTGGAAGGGAAGGTGGGCAGAGGTGTCTTGTGCGAATAGCTCTCCATCAACCTGAAATTTAGGTTAACGTATCACTGTAGTTTTTTCCAGGCTGAGGTGGCCGCGATAAATGAGGCTTCGGATTGGTTGCTCTCTAGTGTAACATCGGTTAAGGAGGTAAATATTTGTTCTGATAGCCAAGCAGCCATCACGGCTCTTGGTTCCCTGACGGTGCCTTCGAAAACGGTGAGGGAGTTTTCGACTTCCCTATCGACCGCATCCGATTATTTTGCTATTAAGCTTATTTGGGTTCCAGGTCACAGCGAAATTGCTGGCAACTGCACGGGTGATGAGCTTGCAAGACAGGGAACCCTCGAGGAATTACTTTCAGATAGAGAGAGTCTGGGGGCTCCCCTGACCTCGTGTGTTCTGCTTCTGGACAGATGGGTGTTTAGTCAGCTCAGCAAGTGCTGGGCGAAGGCCTTGGAGTGCAAGGTGGCCAAGTTTTTCTGGCCACGGGTGGACCGGGGGCGGTCTGGGGAGCTCTTGAGAATAAGCAAGCTGCATCTCTCACTATTGGTGGGAGTGCTTACTGGTCACTGTGTGATTGGTAACCGAAATTATCGACCTTTCTGATGATGATGACGATGACCAAGATATTAGAGAGAGCGGTGATGTTGATCCACAGCCGCCTGCTAAACGACAACTGGCCAAATCATTAATTTAATTTATTTAATTTTTTTTACTTAAAACTTTTCATAACTAACATTTCAATATTATATTTTTTTCCATATTTTTTTAATTTCTTTTTTAATGTTTCTTCAAAACCAACACTGAAAAAATTGGTACATAAGAAATGAGAAGTAAATTAATATTAATCTGGAAAACGCAAGATTTGTATTATGATTGTTTTCTTTTCAAATGAAATTTAATGAAGATACTGAGAAGCATATTATAGATCAAACAGAAAGCAAAAAAGACTTAGTTTTGTGGAAAATATGTTCAAAAAGCTTGAAAAAAAAATCCAACATTTTGCTTCATAAGAACTACAAAAATTTTCTAAATCAATTTTTTTTAATTTTAATTGTTGCACAGGTCTCTAGCAATAATTTGGCTTAAACAGATTGAAAGAATATCAATTAGTCGATGAGTTATAGCCAAAAAACCATATAAACAATATGCTGAACATCGGCATTTGACTGCAAAGTTCGAAAGTCGATTAAAAAAAAATTCGAACTAACATAAACAAACGCCGCGATACGGGTCTTCTAATTTAGCCTCTATTTTCACCCCTCACTCTCAGAATCGACCGAACTTTTGCTAACCTGAATTTGTTCCACAGTGTTATCGTGGAATGCTAAGTTTTGTATTTGAAGGGAAAAATTCGCCAAAAATCGCCAAATTGGCGCGAAATCACCAAATCTGGACACTCTGGTTGCAAGTCTATTCATTTGCTCAGTCGATACTTTTGAACGATACCGATTTAAAAATAGCGTACAACAGCCTAAAATATGGAAGCTCAAGGAAGTATCGTCTAAAAAATGTCAAATGTAGGGGAGAAAATAGAGCATTTAATGTTGAGGAAAATATATATATAGGAGTACCTGGCGAGGTACGAATAGCAATAACGCGGCTGAAATACAACAAAGCTGTTGGAGCTGACAGCCTACCAGCTGAGGTACTCAAGTACGGTGGCGCGGAGTTTAGACCTGGAAAACACTCACCCTTTTTGTCGACTTAAAGCCGCTTTCGACATCACTAAAAGGAGTTGCAGGAGTTGCCTGTACGCCGCTATATCTGAAATTGGCATCCCTGTCAAACTGATATGACGGTGCAAAATGGCGTTGAGCAGTACCACCAGCTCCGTGAGAATTGGGACAGATATATCCGAGCCGTTCGCCACCAAACGGGGTTTCAGGCAGGGCGACTCCCTTACATGTGACTTCTTTAATCTGACGTTGGAGAAGATAATAAGAGCTGAAAACTGAACCGGTCAGGAACAATTGTTATAAGATCGTGCATATGCCGATGACATCGATATCATCGGTAACAAAAACCGCGAAGTCTGTTCTTCCTTTTCCTAGTTGGATAAGGAAGCAAAGCGAATGGATCTGGTGGTAAAGGAGGACAGAACGAAGTACCCCCTGTCATCAAATAAACTGTCAGCGCATTCGCGCCTTGGCACCCACGTCACTGTTGACAGTTATAATTTCGAGAAAGTAGGGAATTTCGTTTACTTGGGAATCAGCATTAACACCGGCAATAATGTCAGTATAGAAATCGAACGCACTGGACTGGGTAGGCAATTCAGAAGTAAATTTCTCTCGCGACGCACGAAAACCACACTCTATGAGTTATTCATTATGGCCGTGTTGGTATATGGCGCGGAAGCATGGATAATGGCAACATCCGATGAGGCGGCTCTTGGAGTATTCGAGAGAAAGATTTTGCGGAAGATTTACGAGCCTTTACGCTTTGGCGATGGCGAGAACCGCAGACGATGGCATGATGAGCTCTATGAACTTTACAACGACATAGACATAGTGCAGCGAATTAAAATACAGCGCTTAGGCGGTTACAGCGCCAAACAAGAAAAAAAAGAAAATAATAAATTTATGTATATACATTTCCCGTATAGGTTTTCTACAGTTATGCGATAAAAACTGTGATGGGGTTTCTCTAAAAATTCTTACAGAGTGCAGCTATAGAGTTCATTTAAGTTTTATTTAAAACGTTTGTTTCAGGTTTATTTATAGTTACTTTTAAATTTCTATGTGAGACTGCATTTTTAATAAATGCTTACATAAACAAGTAATTTTTAAGCAAAACACATAACCGACTTCAATTCTCATATAAGAATTTAAGACTATCGTTAATCTCTTCATGATCCAATGACCAGATTTAAACCAAATTAAAATGGGACCACCTGCAACACCTTTCCTTTAAAAAAAGAATTATAGTAACATATTATTGTGTAGTGTATTTTATTGTTATAAACTGAATAAAAAATATAACCACATAACCGGATAATCAGGCAAGCGTGAACAACCTCAATCTGTTTTCACTTATTTTACGACAAATGCGATTGAATTTGACATAATGAAAACAAGCCGTATGATACCTCGATGGTGGGAGTTCGGGCTACGCCGCAATGGACACTTTTGTAGAGCATTCAATTCAGAAGAAATCCCATCATTGACCAAGATTATACCTTTTCCCACAAAATTTCGAGGTGGTAGTAAAAAACCAAAATAGTCGTCGAAAGAAAGCACCCTAATGTACATGGGTAATTTTCAA